CCCACCGCCACCGCCACCACCACACCCCAAACACGTGATGACCTTTGACCCTCTCCCCCTCTGGAGCATGGTTCAGTGTCCTGGAGCAAACCTCATGCAGTCGTTCCCACTGCTGATTGTTTAAGTCATCTTAATGCTTAATCAGATACACTGTAGTAATAATAATAATAATAATAATAATAATAATAATAATAATAAAAATAAAGGGGCACTGGTTGCCTTAGTTTCTGAAGTAAAGTTGCACTGAATAGTTTGAGTGAGTCAACTTCCAGTAGTATCTGTTGTCTTTCACCTGGATAGAAACACTGTTAGAAACAGATGAATAATGTACGTGGCATTTTTATTCCAGTGGAAAATATATTCAGATATGACATGAGAGGCTTTTTACAGGACACTGACGGAGAACCTTTGTATTTATAGAAACCTTTTTTTTGGTTGCTCTTTGTAGTTCTTTTAATATTAAATGTTGTTATTCCATTCCAGTGATGCATACATCCCATTTTGATACTTGTTTGTGTTCATATTGTATGTTGTGTTTTTATTTTATTGTACTCTTTTATATTCTGTCTGTTCTGTATACTTTCTGCATCGGGAGCGAGCTAAAGGTTCCTGCGCTTATTTCGAAAATCTGAGAACTCTCAAAATATTTTATTTGTCTGCAAAATAATGAAAGAAATGTGCAGTTTTGATGTAAATAATGCAGACAACTGATTCCCTATAGCTGAAGACTAAATGTAGCGTATATAAAGAAACCTACAAACATCATATATCGGATGTTTACAGGAAGTTTAAACACTTGGTCAAAAGATAAAATGTGTCGCTCTGTTTCAAACATTATCAGTCTGTGTTGGTGAGCATCAGTTTGCTCTTCAAGCAGCAAACTCAACCTCAAAATAACGAGAATGCATCCCATAATGTTGTTTTTCCTTTAAGGAATACTTCGACACTCATTTGCTGTTTTGCCAAGATGAGAAGATCAATATGAAGCTACAGGGAGCAACAAACAGCTAGCTCGGCTCTCTCTAAAGATTTAAAAACCACCTACCAGCAACTGTAAGACTCACTAATTAACAAAAGAGATATAACATATTAATTAGTGAGCTTTAAAGGTGCCGGTGGACAGATTGTGTTTCCATAGACGAGTGGCCGGTTGCACCAACAGAGCTTAAACCTTCTTCTCACTAAGAGCCTAAATCTCTTTCTTTGCCTCGATCAGAAGGTCGTTTTACTTTTTCCGCCGCCGGAGTCTCAACGATCATTAACGGCCTTATTTCTCTGCAAGCCTCCGACTTTTAGACCTCCTTTTTATTGGATGTTACTGTTTTTTTAATACTTTCCCAGAAACTAATAAATGCCTTTGTAGCAAAGACAAAGACTGAGCAGTTAGGATCAGGCTTAGTAAAGACCAGTTGGTGCAACCCGTCCCAGAGTTCAAAGATTCGCTTTTACAGAATTTTACGTTTTTCCCACCTTGAAGTTACTTCAAACTGCAATATTAAGTTATTTTGGATCAAATAACATAATCATGATCCCATAGACATCCAGGAGTTGTGCAAAACTCGGCCAATAAACTAAGAGACTAAGAGGTGTTGAGACAAGGTTTGTCTGAGGGAGGCCCACAGACTCAAGCTTGTGTCAGCCTTTGTGCTAAGCTATGCTAACCACCTGCTAACAGTAGCTTCATGTTTATCTACCGTCTACTTTTGGCAACAACTTGAGTGAAAGTGTTTTTCCCCAAAAAGTCAAACTATGTGTTTTTTTTTTATGTGTGATGGAACCACAGAATTAACGTTAGCTTCACTAACCGTTGATCCTTTAAACACGTTCACTGTCACCTCCAAGAGTCTGTATCTGTATCAGCATTTGCCAAAAAACTTCTTTCCAGAATTGAAAAAAAAATCTATTTTTGTAAATATAAGTTGTTAATAAATAAGCAAGTCTAAATGTGTGTGGGATCTGCAGTTCATAAACCAATCCACGGTTTGTCCCGACTGTCTGTTGGGTTTAGTTTGGTAATTATAGATTGTGGCTTTAAAAGTCTTAATTGTCCATTTCAAGTGTTTTACAGATGTTTTAAATGTCTGAGCTTTATTCAAACGTTGATCTTTGGTGTGTTACAGTCACTTTCTGTACATCCATGTTGTAAATAGAAACACCTCACTGTATTTTTATTCAGCCAAGAAACTTAAGAAATTGTATTTTGAATCAAACAGAAATAGATCCAAGTCTTGTTTAGAGGATAGAAAACAAGACTAGTTTATTAAGGTCTCATATTTTAAGCTTTGTAGATCAGTGGCTGAATCATCAAAGATGTATTGTTCAATCTTTATGTTGTTAGGATGCATTGATGATAGTCTGTGCTCCAAGGAAACCAAAACAACATTAACTATGGAAGCTCACTTCCGCCAATGTTTCTGTACATCTTTTTTTTCACCGCAATAGCGGAAATGTGCTTCCATACAGGAAACACAAGATAAACATATTTTTGAATTTTTTCATGGAGAATTCTCCTGGTTCAGACTGAAACTAGCAGCCAGTGGAGAGCCCTTTTACCAAATCAGATTTCATGTCCCTCCTTGACTGAGGCTTTCTGTCTCTTTGCTTTCAAATGAATAAAAGTATTTTCCTTAGTAAAAGCATAATGTCTGTGAGTGTGTGCGGTCTTTTGGAGCTGGGGATAATGTTATGGGACAAATGATGTACCACGATGATGCACTGCCAAGTATGCAGAAATATTCCAGTACACTCTGTGATAATAACACTTTTATAGGGTCTGTCTGTAAAGGAGAGACTTGTGAATACCCACAGAACCCATTTTCATTCCGATATCTTGAGGTCAGAGGTCAAGGGAGCCCTTTAAAATAATGGCCATGACAGATTTTCAATCATTTTCAGGCGTTATTTTGCCCCCTTACTGATATGCTAGCATGACGTGGTTGGTACAAATTGACGCATTTAGATCTATTTTCATATGATTGCAGTATTTTCACTCAAAATAGTGACTTAATATCTCAGACCAATAGCTTTAAACTGAGCCTGCTGCAGCCTCTGAAAGAGAGGAAGCAGCCCTGGCTCTAACTGGGAAGGTGAAGCAAGGGGGTTGCAATCTGCAGCTACACCGCTAGTTGCCAATAAATCCTACACACTGGACTTTTAAGTTGCTTTCAAGGTACAATTAAATACAATATGAAGATAGAAAACAGGCACAAAGCTCAAATAGAGACAGAAATATGTGCAAACAAAATACAAACAACCAAACATTCAAAATAAGAGCACGAGCTGAACATGCACACTGAGCAAGCTTCAAAGCATTTTCTGTGCAACTTTAAATTGAGTTAAACTCCAAACTCCATTAGGAGAGACAGGAATCTGATGGTTAACACACTGGCCTATAGAGGAGCTCCTATCTCCTCCATCATGACGAGCAGCTTTAAATAGATCGGTGGCAGTGGCTCATAAAGCGTAGTGCGAATTGTTCTGACAGTCCCAAGACAATGCACAGTCCCACGGCTTCAAAACAGTCTCATAGTAACGCAGCAACAGCGAGTTCCTCCACATCCACAGAGACGTGTTTACTGAGAACAGACAAGACTTCTGTAATTCTGGGAATCAGTAATCCTGATCTGAGTTCAGGATTCAGGAGTTTTCACACAACCTGTTAATTATGAATGAAAAAGATTCCTTCAATCTGTTTTCAGTCTCTGTGTCCTGATGTGAACCTCAACAAACAAACCTCTGTCAGCTACAGAAGAACCTTTCTATTATTACGGTAAAGAGATATTAGTATTATCTTATTATCTGTTCTTTAACATATAATTTAAGTAAGTATGTTTTTACTATTAAATAAAACACACATGAGATTTTGTGCAATTTACAGGCTGTAATATAAAACAAATGACTTTATTCCATTTAAATTCCTTTAAAATGCAGCATAAATAAAGGTTTTTACTGTAAAACCAATGTTTTTTTACAGCTTCGACCGTATTAAACGTATCGTCTCTATTGTTATCTTTATTTATATTTTTCTGTGTTTAATTGTTACCAAGGCAAATTTTACTTGTCCTGTTTGGCAATAAACCGGATCCTGATTCTGATTCTGATTCTGATTCTGATTCTGATCCTGATCCTGATTCTGATTCTGAAGTTATCATTTAACAAATTTCCCCCCGGAGATCATTAAAGTATTTCTGATTCTGATTAATATTAGCCGAAGCTCCACAGGGGGGGTCATGAGGCCTTCTTGATTTTAAGGGGTGTTAGAAAACTTAAAAAGTATCCACAGTAAATCTATAGCTCATTATTTATCTGTAAAACCAGATGAGTTAAATTAATTTATTGTTTTACAGTGAATTATTTAATATCTATACTTTGATGACCTGAACACATATTGTTGTATTAGAACAATTAAAAGTAAACAAAAATACTTAATTCAGACAGAGAATTGTATAAAAAGTTACTAAAAATATCATAAAAACTATCTGATCAATATTCAGAGGAAATAATCCGACTTCCTGCAGTTATTATATCATATATATATTTAATAATGACATTACAGGCAGATGCTTCACCCCGCAGAAATAAAAGCACAGAAAGGTCAAACGTGTCTCTTCAGGTCGGCGCAGTGGAAACACACGTAGAGACAGACACACAGTCAGACAGAC